ACACATCAACCACGTAGTCCTCAAATCAAGAAAGCACAAGAACAATAAGTCAAGTTATAAGTTATTCAGATGATTACACAAATAGGCCAACATGGGATTTATTAATCCCTAACAAAACTTCTCTATAACTGCACAGAATGAAGTAACATATGCAGCTAAACAACAGAATACAACACAGAAAAGCATCACTTTATCAGTATACTTTGCTTCTAAGTTCATGATCTGAAGAACTATTTTATAGAAATCTAATGCGTATAACGAACCCCAAGTATCAGGAATATATAACTGTCTGAATTCTCAGATTAAGGCTTTGCCTCAGCTGTAGATTTACTGGTAAATTTCAACATTTATATTTCCTTCTACCCAGTAGGCTTTATAAATCATATTTACTGACATAATACAAATTAAATGCATTTCATATTAATGCCACTGGAGGAATATAGTTACTGTAAAACTTGCCTGTACTCAGCCATTTTCTCAAAAATAGTTCCTCACAAGAATCTGTACATATAAAATAACCGTTAACTTTTAGTTGTCCAAATTGTTGTATGAATCACCCACTCATCCAGCAGTTAATGGATGGGACCATCCAATAGTGCCTAAAAGTATTATTTTGGCTCCTTTTTTATTAAGAATTATCCAAGTGTCTGTTTAAATACTTTGATATGAGCTAAATCTGAATGTCTATGATATACTTCAGTAAAAGTGCTGGTGAGACTATTTGGACCTAACATGATGCTGGTGAAAAGTGCATGATAAGGAGCTTCATTGTTTGTACTCCTAACAAAATATTATTAGGATGATTACAGTTTTAATTGGAAAACCTGAAGGAAAGAGACCAATTGAAATAACTAGACAGAAAGAGGAGAATAATGCAACATGATGCCTGAAAGCTGAAACAGCGGAGACAAAAAAGACAGCCATAGCTACATAACAATTCAGTAAAAACATTCCTGCAGCAATGGATACACATGCAACAACAGAGGAATCTTTGGAAACGGTCTTTTCTATATGGTACATGATAGAATTATATAATAAGGACCAACAGTACACTGGGCCACAACTCAGAACTTAGAATTACTAACCATATGAAAGGTAAAATGTACAGTTGTATCTGTGCTTAATTAATTAAGCAATGTGGCATGAAAACATATGGGGGAGTGGAGGTATAGCTCCATAATTCTCGACCTCAACACCAAATGGAGGTGAGTGGCCAGTTATACATCCTGGTCCCACTTTGCCCTCAGGGAAATTTCCCACAGTATCCATTGAATGGGAGGCTGGGTGGCCCTCAGAGCCGGTGTGGGCACTGAGGAAAAGAAAAAAATCTTCCCTGGTTGGAAATCGAACCCAGGCTGTCCAGTCCATTGCTATACTGACTGAGATATCACAACTCCACTAACCATATGTGGCAAAGTGGCCTCCGTAGTCTAGAGGTAACGTTCTCACCACATGATTCGTGGTACGCGGGTTCAAATACCCGGAGGAGGTTGTCGAATTTTTAAGGGCGGAAAAATTCAGGGAACAAGTCCTCCGGGAGGGACTTTAAGCCGTGTGTCCCGTGTCGTAGCTTTACGGCACATAAAAGAACCTCATATCTCCAAAGGAGATCACTGAGCTAAATTCAAGCACGTTTCCCGCACAACAGTAGTCTCTAAGACCTCTGATAGAGGGGGGAAGCATTATAGACACCGCCAAGCTAGTGGAGGCCGAACTCGCTGGCTTGGCTGGACTGATGGTATGCACCAATATCGGTAGGGTATAGAGACTGGTAGAATATCATAGAGGGAAGCACAATGGACCAATACTGCTGTAAGTGTATGGGGAAACCCACCCTCTCCAATAACTAACTAACTAACTAACCATATGTGGCAAAGATATTTACAATGGAACCTACCACAGAAACTCTTAGTAACTACTTCATCGTTTCAGATTGTTCAGACATTACAGACTTACTAATATGTACAATTGTTTTTTACATAACTAAATCATTAAGTAAAAATATGTATTTTAAATACAGCATATAAAATTTTTCTACCTTTAAAAATACTTTTTTATGTTGTACCTTACATTTCAAACAACAGTATAATGATCTTAAAGTGTATTTTACACTGCCTTTGATGAAGGAATAGATGTATGCTGATTTTGGGAAAACACTTAAACAAACTTAAATGTTTATAGTGTAAACACTCATAGATATTTCAGCTTAACAATGAAATGCATCTAAATGAGATGTTAAACCTTATGTACAATATAATTAAAATTTCCACGGTTATTTGGTGAAGTTCATATAATATATTTGGTTTGAGCCCACACAGCCTTCCTATTTATGTAACATTACTCACATCTCTGAAATACATTGGTAAGTCAATAAGTAAGTTACAAATGGATATAGAACTTAAACAAATAAGAGTACTGATTTGAAAAATGCTTTTATTTCTCAACACAATCTCCCTGTACATTGAGGCACTTGTCCCATCATTTCACAAGCCCCTGAAAACCAGTAGCATAAAATTCTTTGGGCAGCTGTCGGAACCAGGCAGTGACTTCCCTTTACAGATAACATCCTCAGGAAGCTTCGTAAGGCCATTCAATGGAAGTGACCAGGACTCCTCACCAAAGGCATGTTGCTCTTGCATGACAACACATATCCCCATACTGCCAACAAGACAAATGAGACACTGCGAAATTTCAAGTGGGAAGTCCTCGAGCATCCTCCATATAGCCCTGACCTTGTTCCAAGCAACTTCCATTTGTTTGGCCCTCTTAAACATTATCTTTCAGCTGAACATTTTCCCCACGATGAAGCTGTAGAAAGGGAAGTCACCACCTGGTTCCGACAATGGCCCAAAGAATTTTATGCTGCTGGTTTTCAGGGGCTTGTGAAATGACGAGACAAGTGCCTCAATGTACAGATAGATTATGTTGAGAAATAAAAGCATTTTTCAAATCAGTACTCTTATTTGTTTAAGTTCTATATCCATTTGTAACTTACTTATTGACTTACCCTCATAACTTAGAATAACCAATTTATCCTTTTCTGATCCTCTTTCTCAGAATATTTCATACTGCATAACTACACTCAATTAAAGCTAAAACATTTAAAAGGTAAAGTTTTCCCTGTGCTTAATTAATCAGGCACAATGCCATGAAGATATATGAGGGATTGGTGTATAGCGCCATCATTCTTGGCTTTGGCAACAGATGTAGGTGAATGGTCAGCTTCATGCCCTGGCAGCTTTACCCCTAGAGAAAGAGCTGCCAGTACCCATTGGACAGAAGGTTCAGTGGACCCCAGAGTCAGTCTGGAAGCTACGGAGAAGAGAAAAATCTTTCCCCCACTGGGAATCAAACCCCAGCTGTCAAGCCCATAGCCTGTCACTATACTGACTGAGCTATCTCAGCTCTAACTACACACAATTATACTAACAATCCTTGTTCTTATTATTTCATAATAATGTTAAATATTGATTCCATATATTTGTCATAATCCAAATCATACTAAAGTTGTACAGAACATTTCCATTCAGGCATCATGTCATGTGGAAGAATCGCACAACTATAAAATTAAAGCATAATGACTTTGCTTCAGAGTTCTGATTTATCTTCTGACAATGGAGGTGGTATGTTCCTCTGAAATGTTAGTACCGAACTACCAGATTAAGAGGTGTGATAAACCAGACGACCACAATTTGAATCTTCACTGCTGTAAAAACTAAAAAACTTACATAATATATGACATTATTGGAAACGGAATGGTCGTTTATCATGCCAAAATGTTACTGCGGATACTATCTCTCACTTGCTGGGAGGTGAAAAATGACAAAAAATAATATCATACATTCAAAGCATTATAGCTTGTTACTGGCAATACTGTTAACTCTCTTCATGCTACTTACAGAAATTTTTGTTAGAATGGTGCCAGGTCAGTAATATTGATGTGCAATTTCCATATATGATATCCACCTATTAGTTTGAAAGAGAGACAGAAACTTAGTGAAGGGCCATTTACATGCAAGGAAAACCCTTCATTCACGCTGCCAACAAAACTTTTCACCTTCAGCACAAAGGGACAGGAGTACAACTCATAAAGCCTACTTCCCTATTCAATGGACTTCCTAATCTTAAAAATCCGGTACTCAGTTCATGAGACAACATGCTGGCATCATGCAAAGATGTCAGAATACAAAATCCTGATGAAGTCAAAGTCTTATTTCTTGCAGTTATAAAATTGTCACAGATTGCTGTTGCTGGTTGTGGCATAACATCCTTACAAAGTTTTGTGAAAATTGGTAAACTACCTCAAAAGTTAAAATAGGAGACAGCCAGAGAAACACACACACACATATACAGAGCATAGTGATCTCGTAAGCCTGTTTTCTTCCTTTAATGAAGAGATGTGAGCTAAAAGGGAGAAGCAGGCAGGGGGTCTTTCAGGTGGTATGCATTGGTATGCATTAGAGCCAACACTTGATATATATCAGCAAATTCACTGTAAGTCGCATATCTTCCAGGGAAATGTTTGTTTTGACCTTGAAGCTAAAGCCAAGTGTGAGAGTGCTAACATACTATCTGGCCTTGAATTCAAAAGTAACATGTCCATTACCACTAATATATATATATATTGTATTATATATGTATATATATAAACCCAGATCTGTCAGTCAGTCAGTCAGTCAGTCACTTGAGAGTGGGAGTAGACCCAACTCCCGAATTATCTTGTATATCAAATATAACTCAGACAATGGACACTGTTGAACACTGTTCAAAATAATATTAGTATGGCTTAGTTAGCTAAAAAATGGGCTGTGCCATAGCTCAAGTGGTTAGTCACTGGCTTCCCATGGCGGCAACCCAGGTTCAATTCCGGGTCTGGTCAAGTGGGATTTGTGGTAGACAAAGTGGCATTGTGGGAGGTTTTCTCCGAGTACTTCGATTTCCTCTGCCAATCTTCATTCCACCAATTGCTCCACAATCACCCTCACCTATCATCTGGGGCTGGTACAATTGGCCAGAAGTGGCCACAGTACAAGGGACTCAGTCCCACCCCACTAGCAATAAAAAACAACTAAAAATATGACTGCTTCCATACACATTTTATTTCACATATGTAATTATCCACACGAAATATTTCTCCTTAATTATTCTTACAATTCAAAGCCAATGGAGAAGATTAAGTAATATGAAGATTGACAGTCAATTAGAGGTATGTGTATCCTGCTTACTAACCAAGAATCCCAGTTCTTTGAATGTCATATGCTTTCTACCCTTTAAGGTTTTAGATTTCAGTCACATGCCTTTTACAAGGCCTTTTGCTGACTTAATGATTTTGTGCTAAACAGATATATTCCACTGATTGAAATGCTCTGCTAAATGCACTAATTCAGAGTTTTTCCATGTAGGTGAACTGTTCTGCACCGAGTTTTATACCTATTTCACAGTGAAAGAAATGTGCATCACAGAACGGGACAGTTGGTAGTTTTTCTGTGATTATGCTGCATAGCACTGTTCAGGATCTGAGTGCTGGTCATACTCTGAATTTCTTCTCTATGCAGACTTCCTTTTGTGTATGGTTAGCATAGTATTTTAAGATGTCTTTGGTTCAATCTTAAATGTCGATATGACAACATTCACCTGGGAATGGGAGTACAGTCAACTCCCTAAACACAGAATATATACCTCAGGCAATATAATACAAGCATAATGAATCAGCCATTGTGACAAACCTAGAGAATCATCAAGAAACACACAGATTGCCTGTCTCATTATCATAACAAATTAGAACAGAGGCATGCAGGGATATTCTCCTTGGTGGTGTTGTCCAGAAATTGCCTGATTTTGATTTGTCCCACTTTGTGCCACCATTGCTGCCATGGACACAGGAGGTGGAGCAGGATGATAGGCTCCACTTGGATTTGGGTGATGGAACCTGGGGTCTAACATCATGGCTGCTACAGCTGCAGCTGATGTTTGATGATGTTGTGACCTTGAAGATGTAACACTTGGTGGAAGCATGTGATGGTGTGATGGATTCTGATGATGGTGTAAGCCATGGTGATCTGTTTTAGAAGCTGGCCTATTCAAGAGTTGGTGGTGATGGCCATGGAAATCTATGGAAGAATGATGACCATCTGGGAAGTTCGGATATCCTGAAGTGGGCTGAGGATGAGAGGGGTTGTTTGTAGATGAAGATGCAGAACTAGGCCCATGATGTTGCATCATAAGGTCCAATTCTCCACCTCCTAGAGGTTGACGCTGTGGATTGGCAGTATTTCTATCCTGAATGTTGTTGGTGGTGCTGAAAGTTCCACTGTTGCCATCCTGATGAAAGTAAAAGAGGCGTAAAATTAAATATACCCAATTTTTAATTAATCTAATTTATCAGTTTGGTCAGTCTCTGCAAGTCCATGATCTGGTATTTAATACACCCTCATAACTCCGTATTTCACAAGATAATTTGATTTTACATTATATAAATAGAATGCAAGGACAATGGAAAGGAATCAGAACATTGAAATGTTTCATAATCTGTGCTTACCAAAAGCAAATTGTTGAACTCTCTGGGAATCAAATATAGAATTGTTACAATTCTGTATGAAGTGAAAAGAGATCCTCTGTTACACACAGAAGACATCGGGTGCATGCATTACTTCAACTCCCATTATTTCTGCTGTCATTCTGCTTTCTTTTTACAATCTTACTAGGTGCAGGCACTTTCATCACAAAATGAAGTCTTCTTGGAAAATCAACTGTGGGAATATGGATTTCTTATTCAACGTTTCTGAGGCTGTTTCTATTTCCATTATCAGGGACGTGGCTGCACACTGTACTTATACCCATACAGTATATTCTCGGCTATCCCAGTGCAGACTGCTGGGGGAACAGTGTGTGGAGTCAAGCAGTCAATAATCACAATCCATGTTGCTTGTCACTGGTTCTCCATTATGAGAGTTTTTTAATATCCATCCTCATTTAATCATGTTTGTGGCCTGCTACCATGAATAGCTTACTCTGAATTCTACATCCCTGTTGGGTTATAGCCAGATCTCAACAGCCTCCTCAACTAGGCAGGTCATGTGTCCATTGTTCTGGCCAGTACCACAATGTCCTTGAAATTTATCTGATGCTCTACCTCAGTACTGTGCTCCGATGGGTTACTGAATTGAATTGAATTTAAATTTAAATTTAAATTTAAAAAGTGGTTTCATTACAGCATATTTTAAGCGTTGAGGAAAAGTACCTGATGATAAAGATTTATTACATAGATGATTCAAGGGTAAACAGAGCTTGCTTTAAGTAATTTGATAGAGATTTCATCATATCCATGTGAATTTTTGGGCTTAAGGGATTTAATAATGTTTTCAATTTCCTTCCTTGTTGAGAATTTGAGATTTATATTTGGAAATGAATTGTTAAAGGCACGTGACAGATAGTATATTGGATTATTATTATTATT